CGAAAAATTTTCACAACTCATAGTTCTTCTCGGAAGGCAATGACAAACCACGGAGTAGTAGTATACCTGCCCAAGAAACCTCCTTGTCAAAAATTGTCGTTCGGAATCAACGTTCAAAATGTAGGTTTCCATATACATTGTGTAGGATCAATGTACATGCAAAAGTATATGAGATATTTATCTCATATAGAGAGAGAGAGAGATGCTTACGTGTTGAGATAGAATAGCACTTGAAGAAGAAAATATATATATCTACACACACACACACACACACACACACACACACACACACACACACACACACACACACACACACACACACACACACAATTTTATAAATGTGTGCACTATATATGTATATAAAGAATAAATTTACATTTTATTGCTTTTCGATTATTTATAAAAATTGTTATATAAAATATAAACAATAATGAAAATGAAATTAAATATGTGTGCATCAATAATGTATAAAATGGTCCTTAGAATAGGAAAACACATTTCATACATTATTGATACACACATATTTAATTTTATTTTCATCGTTGTTTATATTTTTATTATTTAAATTAACAGAAGTTCATTGGTGATAGTTGGCTCTGGACTTTGACTAGAACTTGCAGAGCTGAGAGTCTCATCTTTAATTTTTAAAGCAGATGAATCCTTGTCCTTGCTTTTATCTTTTTCCTTTTCCTTATCCTTATCTTTATTTTTATCTTTATCCTTATCTTTTTTCTCTTTATCTTTGTTATGTTTGTGATCATGCTTATGCTTATGTTTGTGTTTGTGCTTTTTCTTATCCTTCTTTTTCTTTTTGTTCTGCAAGAACAGCGAATGTGTATTACAAATTTAATATATTCGACATTTATAATATCACGAAAATAATTGATGATATTTATCTATTTCTTCAAAACTTCATGTACCTTGTTGCTGGAATCACTTTTCGGCTTATGTTCTTCTAGATCTTTTTTAAACATCCCAGGTTCAAAACCTACAGGACCAGGAGTTCCCATGATACCAGGAAGTGACGCAGAATTGTCGCTGTAATACTCGGATTTTACTTTTCCTTCACCAGGTACTGGAATTCCCCGTTCATCCTGTTAAAGTACAGTATATAATTTATCCAACAATAAGGGAAAAAGGATATAAAATTATTTTTCATACATTGTTTGCTTTTTGTCGTTTTTGTTCTGGACCATGTTCCACTGGATTTGATGAACTTGGAGGATCTCTGTTTGGTGATAGTTTCCTCTTGTTACCAACAGGTAAGTTCTCGATTGATTCTTCGATTGATTCGTGTTTTACATGTTGTACCGATGCAACTTTCACCTGAGCAGAATACTAGGATTTAGACATTGTCATTAGAAAATATTTTACAATCATTTAAATAGACTTTATTATAAGTAAGTCTTACTTCACGTTCTGGACTTGGTGGTCCAGCTTTCTTAGGTTTCATGAGTGTCGCGATTTCGGGAATAGGAAGACAAAATGGAACTCTCACGCCATATAAACTATAGTACAAATCTACCAAATCGCAACGCAACTTTGCATCGTGCGATAGCATGCCGCTATAAATAAAATTATATATGTTAATAATACAAAAAAAAAAAAGATTTTACATGAAAGATTAAAAAATTTTCATACTTAATTAAATTCCATATACGGTCAACTAGATCTGGTTTATCCAAGCGATGTTTATGAGCTTTCTCAAATGGTGGATTTTCTACCATTAATCGTACGAGTCTATGACGTATACCAGGATGTGGATCCATTTCCGCCATATCTAATAAAAATTCTAAGTCTTCCCATTTGCCATCCACGCGAGTAAAATCAACCAATGCTTCTAAAGCTGCTATTCGAATGTCTAAAAAATATTAATTAATCGTTAAGAATCTTAGCAATTCAGAATATAGATATTGATAATATTTTCGCTTAGAGCAATCTAGACCTATAAATTGTCCATATGCTGCATATGCTCTGAAAAGATGAGGATTGCTTGGAAGATGACCAAATTTTTGAAGAATACGTATAACTTTAAGACAAGCTACGCTAACGGTATATTTATAGCAGGGTAATAATTTCTCTAAGTTTAAATTTCTCGTGACTTCTTCTAAAATAGCTTTTGTGTCGATTGATAGAGATTCTGCTGTAATAGCCGTTCTGTAATGATATATTAAGAAATTTATCTACTTGTTAGATTATTATCTATCTATAATTTATATAAATAAAAATTAGATGTTTATACCCTTGTTGTACACTGATAACCGGTGTAACAGTTGCACCAAGAGCTTCGATTAGTGCGGCTCTGTAATAATTGTCGGAATACCTATTCTTGCTATTATCGTTATATTTAAAAAGATCCATTAAAAAGGCTAATACTTCTGGTGGACAAATACCATGGGCATTACGTAATCCTGCCATTGCAACTGGTATAGTCTGCACAGATATACAAAAGTTCAGAGAAAAGATATTACTAAATAATTCTGATGCAATGTAAGTACATGTTAATCCATACCTTTTGTAGAAAGTAATGTTGAAAATTCGAGAAATTATTCTGTTTAATAATCCGCCGGCATGACGCGGATCCAAACAATTTTCTAAATATCGCCAACATTGCTGGTGGACCTGACCAAGTTGCTACCATTGCGTTTCCTACCTATAAGTATGTATTTGCAATGTATGTATATATTTGTAAAATTTAATTAAATATTATATAGAATGTGAACGTAGTGTAGCAGACACCACTGACTGCACACACAGACTGCACTGTTCTGCTACATTAGAAATTTTGTATTCGATTTCTGGTAAAATCGAAAATTTTCGTATGCTTGTAACTCCTCTCAAAAAGCAATGGCAAACCACCGAGTATACTACTTGCCCAGGAAACCTTCTTATCACGGAATTGGTGTTTAAACTGCAAGTCCCTATATACCTTGTGTGCGATCAGTGTATAAAGGTATATGAGAGGTATATGAAAGGGGGCATCTACACATTGATGACAGCGTATGGCACTTGAAGAAGAAGAAAAATTAAACATTGGTTTAATAATGACTAACCTTTGTTAAGCAATGAGCAGCGCGAAGTCTAACTTTATAGTAACAATGTTCATTCTCAATTGTATCAGTCAGTGCTAATCGTGTGGCAGGTGTTGAATGGTGCTGCAAAGCTTCAATCGCTTCCAATTGTGCAGTGACATCTCTTTCATGTCTCAATTGATATTGCCATTGATAATCAGGTTGCTCAATTTGCACAGCGCGCATGATTGTCATTTCAGGATCAAGTCTGATCCATAATACTGGAGAATCACTATAAACAATTTTTATTTTTTAATAAATGAAATGGCCAAATTTACGATTCTTACACAAAGTTTATAATTAAAAAAATGTTTGATCTTACTCCATAGCAGAGAGATCCATATCAACTTCTTCGCCAGTACACAATGGAATTTTCTTTTTTTTGTTTCTACGACTTTTACTGTGACACGTAATATCTGCTCTGGCCATTGTACCTTCGATTTGTAACGTGTGCTTAAAAGTACCATCTAGTTCTTGAATATTAACGACTAACGGACCCACGTATTTCCTAATTCCTCTTTGATGTGTAGTATCTTGCCTAATTTCTAACTCCACTGTATTTCTATAATGTGTATATATATATATTAGGTGTAGTAAAAAGAAAGCCATTATTTTTGCATGAAATTGAATGGAAAAGTAATGGATTTCTTTTTACTACACCTAATATATATATGTTATTTTGATAATATATAAGATATATAAGATAATGCAATTAAATAAACTTAAATTTAAAAATACCTTTTTCTATTAAATACGAAACTTAGACTGAATTTCGCATGTCCTCCCGTTCTTACCCATTGATCTATAAATACTGACATATCTTTCCCTGTTACAGTAAAAATAGCTTTAGCAAATACATTTGTACTAATTAACATGTGCGACCACAAGCCAGACTCAATCTTTTGCTGTGCAGCATTAGCTGCTAAAGACAATTGTTTATTAAATACCTATAAAAAATTAAGTATGTAATTAACAGTGTTAAATTAATACTATTACGCATTTAGAAAAGAAAAAAA